TCCCAGAAGAGGGACTGCCACTCTGCCTGCCTCTGGGAGGAACAGGCAGCCTCCTCGTCTAAAAATAGCAGGTGGGGAGAGCGCAGGAGAGCGGACAGCTGCAGCTGTGGTCCTGTGGTTCTGGCTGAAAAGGAGCCCAGACAGAGCCCAAGCAGCAGATCCTGCCACCGAGAGCCTGCAGGCCGGCAGGGCAGGTTAGGAAGGTGTCTGGTGCGGCAGTCCGGAGGCAGTGACCGTGACCTAGGCCTTCCCACTTCTCAGGGCCGCCCTGGGGCATTTCGCACACTTGCCTGTCCACTCAGCCAAGGAGCTCACCAGGAGAGCGAGTGGCTCTGTCCCGGCCCCGGCATGAGCTTTGCTGCATGCGGACACTCTCGGGGCTGCAAGTAGGAACCCCAGTGCCCAGGCTTCAGAATTCCACACCCTGTATCCGCCTCAGCCCCCACCTACCCACCCACCGCCCCACCGCGGCCAGAGTGTGCTGTCTTGAGAGAGGCACGTGCTGTGGGCTTGCCCATCACCTCGGAGGTGTCTGATCCGGGCAGGAATGAGCGCCCCCTCCCCAACCCTGGGGGAAGCCTGGATCTCTGGGGCTGAACAAGGATGTGCAGCCTTTAAAAGAGATGAGGCTGTGCTTGTGGGTTTTCTGCACTCGTAGAGTTTTCCTGACCACTCTTCTTGTCGGTGAATGTTCCAGTAGCTAACCTGAAAATAGCAGAAAAGGAATTTTTTGCAGAACGTTGGGAGAAATAGGTCTATGCAAGCAGCCACTGTCCAAGCCCCACCCCCACCCAGAGACAGAGCCCCAGAGGGAACAGTCCTGGTGCCGCTCCTTGTCATTTGTCCGGGAGGGCGTGACTGGGCATTCGCTCTCATCTGCATTACCTGCCTTGGCTCTCCCAGTGGCCCTGGGAGATGAGCAGGGCAGGGCCTGTCATTCCTATTTCTACATGAAGAAGCAGGAGCTCGAGGTCAGGACTTGCCCAGACTAGTAACGAATCATTGGAGGGCAGAGCTGTCTCTAAGCCTCCGTCCTGTCCACACGCTGTGTTTAATCCCGATGGCAGTCCATGTCTAAAGGGCAAAAGCCCCCCAACATGGAACAGCCTAACACATGGGGAATTGAAGCAAAACTTTAAAAAAGAGAGAAGAAAGATTCCATTTAATCCTGTTAGGAACATTTTTCTCTGTATGGCCCAGCAGCCATGGCTTTGAATCCAGAGAGGGGACGAGAACGCTCACTCCCTGGTGGCCAGGCATTTCCAGTCTTTACATAGTCATCATAATATAAATCCCATGTATCACTTTTCTCATTTTAGAATCAATCCATGGACAAGGCAGGAAAAGTGTGGTTATCGCTGCGAGACAGAATATAAATATTAACAGCCGTGACAAAGCAGAGATAAAAGAGAGTAGTTGTTTTTTGTTTTTTTTTTTAAGTGGGTCTAATACCAAGTGAGAGGAAGGCAGGGACAGAGATGAAACGATATAGGAAATGTAAGATATCCGGTATACGGCTGGTGGGAGAGAAAAGGTCAAGTGTATTATTTGTTACAAACTGAAATATAAATAGCAAATACTGGAAGAAAGTACAGTGTGGGGGAGGGTCATGTCCTCCTGATGGAACCAGTAAATGATGCTCTAGGTTGAGAATATCTTTTATTCCCTGATTCCTCTGAAGATCTGGAAGGAAGCACCAGAAATGCTAAGGAGAGAGCCATCCCTAGAGAAGCTGCCCCCTGGGGTGGGGTCGGGGGGCAGGTCAGGGGTCATTGCTTTTCATCGTTACTGTGAGATAGATTTTTATTACTTGGATAGAAAAACCTCAAGGCAGTGAGAGGATAGTTTTTTTTTTTAAGATTTTATTTGACAGAGATCACAAGTAGGCAGAAAGGAAGCCACATGCGGGTGGGGGAAGCAGGCTCCCTGTTGAGCAGAGCCCGATGCAGGGCTCCATCCCAGGACCCTGGGATCATGACCTGAGCTGAAGGCAGAGGCTTAACGCACTGAGCCACCCACCCCTAGAGGATAGCTTTTAAGACAAGAAACTGTGGAGCCTGCCGTCTGTCCCCAGAGCACGTGCCCCCGCCCCCTGTGAGAATGAGCTATAGAACACTCCTTAGGTCTGCAACAGAAATCAGAGTGTTCCCGGCTATCAAATCACCGATGACTGTTCTCAGCGAGTCCAGCCAGGCTAGCCCTCTCCCTTGAAGCCAACTGACCCTGCTGGAGACAGAAAGGAGCATTTTTGTAAATGACAGGCCTGTGTGACGTCTGAGAGCCGCTCGTGTCTGCTGTCTGGGCGAGCGCTGTGAGGGTCTGGAAGCCGCTCCTGCACAGCTCTGACCCACGCCAGGCTGCCCTGGGTGCAGAGAGCAGAGCCCAGAGCAGTTGCAAAGGACGGGCGGGTTCTCGGATTTTTCAAGGGAAGAACCCAACTGGGTGGGACTGTTTCCCCTGAAAGCCTGGCTGTGAATTAGGCTCAGTCAGCCCTCGGTCTGAACGGAGGGAATAGTGGCAAAAGTTGATGGCAGGCAGGAAGCCAGACTCTTAAACCTAGTCATGTAATGTTGCTTCTAGAAATGGATCTTCCCAAGCTGCAAGGCGAAGGAGTGGCCGGCCCTCAGACACAGTGGCTGGGTTTGGAGGGCACTGGGCCCAAGAGGGATGCTCTCACTTACAGTGACCCCGATAAGGGAATCTGGAAAAAAATCAAATTAGAAATGGGTTCCAGATAGGCCTCTACCCAGGAAACTAACAGTACAGTAACGGGACTGAGTATATCCCCCCCAGAACCTCCCCACATCAGAATGGAAGAGAAACAAACATGGAATTGATCAGTGGCGCCAACATTTAAGTGAAAATCCTTTTTAGAACCAATCTAAACTTGACTGCTTGAGGCATCTTCAAGGAGGGAGGACTTTGCTGCAGATGCATTCCGTGGGTTGGATGGTTTATTCTTTCATTATGTCCCTATTCGTTTAATATTTACATTTCATTAATTTTTTTAAGTAGCAAGGGACACACATATACATTCAAGTAAATAATAAAAAGGTTTTTAATCACAAATACTTTATGTGAGGCACTTCTTGATTAGGAAAGGTACAGCTTTGGGACGCCTGGGTGGCTCAGTCAGTTAAGGGGCTGCCTTCAGCTCAGGTCATGATCCCAGAGTCCTGGGATAGAGTCCCGCATCAGGCTCCTTGCTCAGAGGGGAGCCTGCTTCTCCGTCTGTCTGCTGCTCCCCCTGCTTGTGCTCTGACAAATAAAATTAAAAAAAAAAAAAAAAAAAAAGGAAAGATAAAGCTATGACCTTCCGTGGTGTGTATAACCTTTACCAGTCCCTTTGCTAAAAATGTAACAGAATGTGAAAGTGAATTATTCTTATCGGTTCCAGCCAAAGCCCCAAACAAACCTGCAGGACTTGTAAGGCCAGTGGCTGAAAAACAGTTGCACAACGGGCAGCTGCCCACCACTCCCAGCCTTTCCAGGGGGTTGGAGAAGCGGAGACCTGAGCGCGCAGGCGACGTGTGACCTGGAGAGAGAGCAGCCGGGGAGCGGGGTGCACTGCGGCGGGGCGCCTCGGAGAGCAGGCCAGTGCCCCCTGGAGTAGAAGGGGACATACCTGTGTCCCCTGGTGTCGGACTCGTGCCTGAGATCCTTACAACTCCAGCGGCAGAGCAAGGGGAGTTTGCGGTTTACAGATGCCCCGCGTCACTCGCTCACTTGTGGCTCTTGTCCCCGCTCTGAGTGTTTCTCTCGTTGTCTGCCCCGCGCTGTGTAAGGTCTGCGAGGTGGAAACACGGATTTCTTCTCTGCTCCATCCTAGCACCTAGACCACAGGTACATGAATGGGGGTTGTGCTATGCATTCACTAATGTCTCCAGCCACCCTGCAGGTTTGATACTATCCTTGCTTTCTGTGTGGGAACCCGGAGCTCGGGGCAGGGTGAGGACAGTCTCCAGTAGCACCACAACCCAGAAGAGCCAGAGCTCAAGGCTGAATCCTCTAATCCCAGAGTTCATGCCCCCCCCCCCCCGCCCGCCGCCTGCCCCGGCACTTGTTTTCCTAAAACACGTTCTCTTGCAGGGAAGGGACCGGCCATCTCTGTGCTCTGGTCTCACTCACGGTATTGTCATCCTCCTTACTCGTACGTGAAGGCAGATGAGCGAATGGGTTGTGTAGCTTTCCCTCTGTGCCAAGATGTGTTCATGTCAGGTTATCCAGAATACACTGGATGCGAGTCAGTATCCGTGCCTGATGATTTGCACAGGGTTATAGTCCTAGATATTACAGAGTTCTTTCATAGGTCATTTCTTTTAATTAAAATGTTAGAAGCTTAAATGACTACTGTTCAATACTGTTCTTTTAAATTTTTTTAATTTTTTATTAATCTATAATGTATTATTAGCCCCAGGGGTACAGGTCTGTGAATCGCCAGGTTTACACACTTCACAGCGCTCCCCAATACTATTCTCTTTTTATCGTGGTAAAATTCACATTAACAGGGGCACCTGGGTGGCTCAGTTGGTTAAGTGTCTGCCTTCGGCTCAGGTCCTGATCCCAGGGTCCTGGGAAGGAGCCCCGCATCCAGCTCTCTGCCCTTCCCCCCTGCTCATGCTTGCTCTCTCTTAAAACTTAAAAAAAAAATTCCCACTTTAACCATCCGTAAGTGTACAGTTTGATAGTGTCACATGCACTCACATTATTATACAAGTGGGCTCCGAGGGCTCCAGAACCCTTCCTCTCGCAGAACTGAAACTCTGCCCCCATCCCCCACCCTCTGCCCCGGCAACCTCCATTCATTCGCGTTTCTGTCTCTGTGAATTTGACGGAAGTGGAATTACACAGTATTTGTCCTTTAAGGTCTGGCTGATTGCATGTAGCACAAAGTCCTACACAGTCTGCCGTTAACGTGTGGTGGAACTGGCTTCCTTCCCAAGGCTGAATAGTGCTGCATTGTGCACGTCAGTTCTGTGTATCCTCTCCTCCGTCAGTGGGGATTCGGGCTGCTTCCCCCTCCTTGGCCACCGGGAGTGAGGCTGTGGACGTGGGTGTGTCCCTCTGCTAAGGCGGCCCTAAGGAAGTGCCAGAGACGAAGCCACTTGAACAACAGCAACGTGTTATCTCCCTGTTCTGGGGCTACGAGTCCAAGATCAAGGGGGAAGCAGGGTTGGTTTCTCCTGAGGCCTCCTTCCTTGGCTGTCTTCTCCCCTGTCTTCACCCCATCTTTGTTCATGTCTTTGTAAAACCCTTATTTAAAATATTGTTTTTGTTTATGAGTGAGAGCAGGGGGAGCAGCAGAGGGAGTAGGAGAAGCAGACTCCACACCGAGCACAGAGCCCAGTGTGGGGCTCGATCTCAGCACCCCGAGATCATGACCTGAGCTGAAACAGAATCAGATGCGTGACCATATGAACCACCTAGGCATTCCCCCCTCCCCGCTCCCAATCTCTTCTTTTAAGGGCACCAATCATACTGGATTAGAGCCTCTCCCAATGATCTCATTTAACCTTAATTACCTCTTTAAAGACCTTATTTCCAAATACAGGCACATTGTGGAGTACTGGGCATTAGGACTTTAAGATATGAATGGGGCTTGAGGGGCGGGGGGAGACAAACAGTTTGGGTGAACAAATAGCTCAGACTGTTTTTCTTCTTTGGGGGTATATACCCAGAAATGGGATTGCTGGATCACAAGGTGATTCTATTTTTAACTTTTTAAGGAAGAAAAATAATATTTATTTATAAAGCATATTCTGCCTAGTTTTCCCCCAACCGTTCTGGCCATCTTTACTCTCCTCAAGCCGAGATCTCGGCAGCCACATCCAGCACTGTCTACTGCCTTCGTTTTTGCTGGATCCGGGGATTATTTCCGACCTCCCAGGCCCCTCTGCCTTTGCTGCCTCGGTTTCTACAATGGCAGATTTCTCAAATGTCCGCTGGCTGGCCCTAGAAAAGGTGCTTGGTTGGAAAACAGGATTCAGATCCTAAACTCTACTCAACGGCTGTGTGACCTTGGGCAAGTCCCAGCGCCTCCCTGCCTGGTCTTCAGATCCCTCATCTATGAAGCAGACGTGTTGGGGGGACAAATCCAAGGGGGGGGTTGGTGACAGGGAGAGATGATATAAACATAAGAGTCCAGAGAGCCGTGGGTGCCCTGGAGGGAGGTCCCGTACCTGTGCCACACCAGCTGGTCCTGGGACACCGTAGACAATTCCCCGGGCTTCCACGCACATGCACACATGGTCTGTTCACGCCGCAGCGTGGGAGCTCAGAGCCCAGTTCTGAGTGTTGCCAGGTCAACTGGAATGTTTTTTCTCTATTAAGAAAAACATTTTTTGAATGACTGGAATCTCCTCCAAACAGCTGTACAATGCGACCTAAACTATTCTCTGCATTTCTGATATTTCTGGTACTGTGCACGGAGACCAGTTTTAAAACCATGGCCCTTAGGTGCTTCATGAAATTTTTTTCCTTAAGATATTTCACAGACTCTAAAATTGACCCAGAGTAGACAGTTCTGTGACTTTAGTCTACTCACCAAGTTGTGTATTGCTAAAAGCTAATTTTAGAACGTTTTCAATAGCCCAGAAACTCCACACCCAAGATCAGTAACTCCCTAGTCCTCCCCCACTCACCCCCACCCCTGGCCACCATGAGCCTTCCGTCTCTCTAAATCTGCCTCTTCTCTACATTTCACATCAGTGAAATCACACAATACGTGTCCTTGATGACCAGCTTCTTTCATTGAGCATAAACGTTTTTCAAGATTCAGCCATATTGTTGGCCGTATCGGTACCTCATTATTTCTTATTGCCGAATCCTATTCCATTGCAGGAGTTACTTACCTGTTCACCAGCTAGTGGACAGTTGAGTTATTAACACTATGGGACTATTCTGAAGAATGCAACTGGAAGCATTCGTGGGCAAGCTTCAGTGTGGGCACATGTCTTCATTTTTCTTGGATATCTACACCTAGGAGTAGAAATGCTGGGATTCATAGTTTTAAGGATCCACCAAACTGTTTCCCAAAGCCGTTGCCCCCTTCTCCAGTCTTCATCATGTCCTCTCCAGCTCCTCCTCTCGCCTTTGACAGCAGCTCGGGGAGCGAGAAGGGGAAGCTCCCCAGAGTTTTTGAGTTCCCCTTAGGATGAATGATGTTTAGCATCTTTTCATACACTTACTGGCCATTTGTAGTTCTTTGCAGGACTCTCCAGATCCTTTACTCATTTTTTAATTGGGTGATTTGTCCTTTTATTGTTCTAAGAGTTCTTTATAGAACCTGGATATAAGTCCCTGTGAGCCTCATTTTCATCCCCCAAATAATGCTCAGACTATGCTGTTGAGATAGGAAAGTGTTTTCATACATGTTGAAAAACAATACAAGTAAAGTTTGATTTTGCTCAAATTTGACCATAGAATGCTGAGGAAATCCAGTGTTTGTCTTCTGTAATCACAGTGTATTTTAGCTAAAATAATTGGTAATTCCCAAAGAATACCCTCTTCTTTTTTTTCTAAATCATGCTAGCTTACTCATGGTTACCCAAAATAGAAGATAAATATTAGACTGAAAAACATGTACATAATGGATTTACTTCTAGGGGAGTGACTCAGGATCACAACAGGACGGCAGGAAAAGAAGAGGACTTTTAGCTGTATTTTACACCACATGTAGTATTAAAAAATTAAGAATTTTTTAAGCAAAATCACCTCCAGGGATGTCTGACTGGCTCAACAACTCTTGATCTTGGGGTCATGAAGTCAAGGCCCACTTTTGGCATAAAGCTTAAAGAAAAAGAAAAATCACTTCCAGAATATTCTTGGTTATACCCTCAATCTTGAAAACTGAGTTCTGAACTTCATCGAATAAATGATATGTTCATAAAATAACACAGCAACATTTAGAGATTTTTTTAATTATATAAAAATAAAATAGGAGCAAAAAAAAAAGGAATAAAAATCAGAAGTCATCCCACACTTACCTATTTTCTGACCACCTTATTTCTAGCTTTGATGTTTAAGTAGAGAAGTAATTCCTCTTTGGTGGGTGACATTGTAGTCGTTGAGAAGCAAAAGCCAATTAAAGCCTGTCACTGCCTCATTACTTTTGATCCAGAAAATGACTTGAGCGATGGTCGTGGGCACACAGTGTTCTCAGAGAAGCATCCCTTGAAAGCTGATGGTTTGCTAAACCAAGAAATCTGTAAAGGGATTCTGATGCACATTTAAGTTTGACAACTGCTGGTACAATTGGACCTTTCATGCCTAAAAGGAAAAGAGAGGAGTACAGAGAGAGAAACTAGTACTGATCGTGCACAAGGTTATCTTTGTAAACCGGCAAAGCATGCGTACTCTAAGTGGCAAACCCAAGCAGCAGGAACCCACTGCTGAAAGTCAGAGCTGACCGGTGGGCCTCTAGGTGACAGCCCTCCACCCTCACGAGGCCGGGGACCCACAGATCCCTTCTCAGAAGTATAAACAAGTGTCCCATGCAGGGAAGCAGACAGGGAGATACACAGCTAGTACAACCGAATCCCTTAAACCATCTCCGGGGAGGACCGTATTGCCTCTGAACCCTCAAAATCGTTTTTGTAATCCCAAAAAGCTTTCCTGAACTCCACGTCTTTATCCACAACTTGGAGGTTTCCGTGGATCTTGGTCTGGAGGCCACGCACTCATTATTCTTCTCTGTCTTTCCAGTAAAGGGTTACCTTCCAGTTCAACATTTACCTTGGAAGAGGGGACCATCTACTTGACTTCTGAGCCAAACGCTCTGGAAATGCAGGACGATAATGCCTCCGTGCTTGATGTCTATTTAGTAAGTAATTTTAGTTTCTTCCGCTTCCTTCTGGTTTACGGATGGGCCCCGGGGCCACAGTTTATGCAAGAATGGGTTCTGCGAGGCCAGGCAGGCTGGGGTTTTAAAAGAAACCATGGCCCTCCATCACTGGCACCACGGGGGCGATTTTCACAAGCCATGCTTTCACACAGTTCATGCAGAACATTCCACAAGAGAGTATGTAGCGTAAGAAGCTAAATCCCTCTAGGTAAGAAGAGAACCGGTCCCCTAATTGTGAGGTGAAATGGGGCTTCTCCGTGGTAACATCTTCTGTGACTCCAGTGTATCTGCCGTGTGCGTGAATCTTCTGGAATTCTGTGTTACTTCCTTGGTAAATTGGTAGCTTAAGAGGCCCAGAACGGGGTTGTGGCAAGAACCGGAGGTCAGCACCAAAGAATGTTGGCCGTCTCCCTCGGTTGTCACCAACCGGGGGCATGACCTGGGCAGGCACCTCTCTGTGTGTCCCTGTTTGCCAAAGGAGGGAAATAATGCCAAGCTTACGGGGCCACTTAGGATCAGGAATGATCGTGTCCGTGAACGCCCTTGATTGCCTGCCAAGTTGTCCCCAGTGACTTAAGTCAATTATTAGATGAGATCTAGAAGGATGTATGATGGACTAAGCTATGAGAGAGAAGGGGTGCTTCCCTACAAAGTCCATCCCACACACGTTCTCCGCATCTCTGCATACCTGCACAAAATCACACAAGAGACACCAAGTATGGATTTCAGCTTTTCCACTCTTTTAAGTTGTCTTTTGAGTTGTGCCAAGCCTAAGTGTGCAAACTCTGTGTCAGGTACCCCACTGGGTGGGTCTCCTGACCACACACCACCACTCCCCTCTACGCCCCAGCCTAGCCCTCTGTTCACTCAAGCATACTCTACAGGACCTTGGTCACCAAAAATGCTATTTGTTATCACAGAGCCCTCCAGCACCTTCTCCCCTCTCCTAGAGTAAGCTCCAATGTCCTCAAGGCCCTGCATGGTCTGATCTATGCTGCCACTTTTTTCTGTGCTCCTTTCCCTGCCTCTGTCTTCCTTAACCATACTGTTCCAACCACAGTGACCTTGGTATTCCTCCCATAACCAACTATGCCTCTGCCTCAGGACCTTTGCATGTGCCTTTACTGTCTGAAAATACACTTTCTTAGCTGTCCCAAGCTTGCTCCGTTACGTCCTTCAGTCTCAGCACAACCATCTCAGATTGGCTTTCCTTGACCCCTTATAGAGAATAGAAGCCCTCTCCCCACAACCACCCTTGTGAAAGGACTTTTTTTAATAACCTCCAAATATCCTGGTTGTAGCACCAACAGAATTTTTTTTCCACTGGGCAACCCTTCTCCCCACAGTGCCCCCACTTTTTAAAATAAGTGATGGTGCACTTTAAAATCCTTACAGAAGAGCTGGTTCCTCTGTACAACCAAGAAGGTAGGGAATTAAATAGGAAAAAAATTACAGTAATTTTTTGGTCCCACGGTAAATTTGAAAAACTAAATGAAATCTGATCTTCGTGAGCTAAGAGTTCATGCTCCTTGTGTCTTTAAAAAAACAGATTGGCACCAACCAGGAGCATGTGACCCTTCCCAGAGGAACAGAAGATCACAGGGTAGTTAAATGGCCTTACTGATCCCAGTTACCCTATGGATTACCCCGACTCCTTTGCTGGAAAGCTTGTCGTTAGTCATTTTGATTGCTCCTCCTCCGGTATTCTCCATTTCCTTTGTAAGAAAACTGCTTCTGTCCTTTTATCAGTGTCTCATTTTATGGTGCTTCTGTGCCTTTCTTGGACATGGAGAAGCCAAACTTTTCATAAAAAGTTCATGCTTCCTCCAGAAGTCACAGGGAAGAGCCCCAGTATTGACTGGCAGTGGTTTGAAAGCACTTTGAGCAGCAGTTAGGAATGAAGGAAGCAGGGAGTTTAGAACTGAAGGAGGCAGCGGTGGTGGTCCTCTGCCCAGCCTTCCCAGCACGGGGCTGCTAACGGTTCACAGGCGTGGGAAGCAAGGGGAGTCCCACAGCAGTGAAGACAAGGCAACAGAAATTCTCACCAGGCTTGGGGAGAAAAGCTGATCGAGCCTAATCTTATTTTGTAGCTACTTACGATAAGCTATTTAGCATTTTTCCATGTTTCCTGCAAGCTGAGCAGTGTCCTGAATACTTTGTCTTAAGCCATTTAATCCCCACGACCCGCTAGGAAGCCGCCAGAGCTCCATTTTACAGAAAGGAGAGGGACGCACGTGCAATCATCCACTTGCCCCAGACCAGGCGACAAGTAAACGGTCAGAGATCAGAGCTGGGATTCCAACCCTCCGAGCCTCGCCCCAAGCCCGCTCTTAATGACCGAGCTGTGCTGCCTGCATTGGGGATCACACTGCCTTTGCCAGACAGAAATTAGACTCAGAAGTTCAAGGCTTGGCCCAAAATCACACAAGGTAACATGCAGATAAGAGAGAAGAGGACACAGAAACAGATTGGGGTGAAGAGACCTCTGTGTTGGTGTACGTTTCAATTTCAAAGGTCAAAATTCAAGAATGTTGTGAGGGGAACGGTTCGGTGCTGCTGGAGAGCTCGGGGTCTTGCACAGTAACGAGGTACAACTGAGCACCGCCCCTGTGCCTCCAGCCACTGTCCCCGGGCTTGCTTTCTGGACACAAGTGGCTCCAGCCAGGTAGGGGTTACGGTGGTCTCCATTCACACGGATAAGGACATGGAGGATCCCTTCACCAGGTCTCACAGCTGGTAAAGGGCAGGGTGGAAACTGGAGTCCCACTCCTTGTGCTCTCCTCCCTAAACCCAGCCCCGTGAGCACCTGTCCCTATGGCTTGGGCACTGGTTATGTGTCCAGGTCTCCCGGCCATGTGGTTGGAATCCTGTTCCTCGTAAAGCGAGAGATGGACCCGATGAGGGAAGGGGCCAGGGGAGTTATGTTGGCAACAGTGTAAGCTTCTGGCTTTCAGTGTTCTAGCACAACACTTCTCACACCTTTGATACCAGTACATCTTCCAAAGTATTGAGGATCCCACCCAAGAGTTTTTGTGTATGTGGCTACTTTTTTTTTTTTATGAGAATTTTTTTTATGAGAAAATTTAATATTTACTCAATTCATGGAATCATTCATTCAGAATAACTATTAATTTAAGTAAATTTCTGTCAAAATCACTATTTTCCGGACAAAAACAAGAAAAGTGGCATTATTTTATGTCTTTAAAATCTGTAGCATCAGGCTTAATAGCATTCTTGGGTCTGTTTCTATGTTAGTGTGTTGTCACAGGGCACATCCTTGTACCCACACTGTATGCCCATGAAAGGCCATGGGAATGAAAAGACAGATGACGTCTTCCTATCATTAATGGAGACCTGATGGATCCCCGGGAGTCTAGTGTTTTCACTTAGCCCCTATCCCTGCTGCAGAACCCAGCGGGCCATAAATTAATTCCACAGAAGCAAGCGCCTGGGTTCTGTGGTGTTCTCTGCCTCTCATTTATCATTGACCTTGAATTGATCTCCCCTTCAGGCCCTCCGCTTTCTCATCCATAAAATGGATCCTTCAGTCACTCTAAGACCCCCTCCAGCTCTGGCCTGCTGTGGCTTCCTCTAAATGCTGTGGAGTTCCAATAAGAGAAGGTTTCACCAGAGCAGCTACAGCTCTCTTCCCAGATTTTGCTGTGTCATCCCATCTTCCTCTATCCTAAACCTTCACAGTATTTAAACATAAATTTTTTGGCAAGACATCTAGAAAGTTCTGCACCATGAATTTCTAATTCCAGGGTGTGTTTTCACGCTGGAGGTTTTTATGTTCTATTTTGCATGCTCTTCCAGTTCTGGGAGGCTGTAGCTCATTGCCCTCCCCTCACTATTGCCATGTGCCTCTCTACTGTGAACGAGCGAATGGAAAAGATAAGCAGGAGAAAGGAAAACCTTTGTCTCACCTTCCGCTGGACCTAGTAAGAATCCTCTTCATCAAAGGCGCCTTTCTTGAAGGGCAGTTGGAGGCTTCTGTGGGGACATTATGGTTAGAATTGTAAGAGACATAGTTTTGTTTCTCTTGTACTGTTTTTTTTCTCCTTTAAGATACAGTGTTTCTCTTCTAGTAGATATCCCTAATTCCCCAGTGCTGTTATTTGTATACTGATACAGAATACTGCCTATATCCCTTTAAAAATACACGGGATTTAAACCAGATAATGTCTGCACACCAGGTAACATATGACGTTTCCCTTGAAGGATCCACCCACGTGATGCATGTATTAATGAGGTTGGCTATCCTGCTTCCTGCTGTGATTTGACACAAAGTTGAAATCATAGTTTACCTTAAAAGACAGCTGATTGTTCCGTCACTCTTAGAAAGCACTGGGTTCAGGTTCCGTGTTCCTGTCATCCTGCCTGCTTTGAAAAGGCCATTGAAAAGGGTGGCTCCGTCAGTTAAGTGTCTTCCTTCTGTTCAGGTCACGATCCCAGGATCCTGGGATCAAGTCCTGCAGCAGGCTTCTTGCTCAGTGGGGAGCCTACTACTCCCCCTGCCTATGGGAGCTGTCTCTGTCAAACAAGGGGCACCTGGGTGGCTCAGTGGGTTGAGGCCTCTGCCTTCAGCTCAGGTCATGATCCCAGGGTTCTGGGATCAAGCCCCGCGTCGGGCTCTCTGCTCGGCGGGGAGTCTGCTTCCCTTCCTCTCTCTGCGTGCCTCTCTGCCTACTTGTCTATCAAATAAATTAAACAAAATCTTTAAAAAGATGAAAAGGCCATTCCCCTTCCCTCTAGAAAGTTCCAGGCTGATTCATTTGCCAATACTCAAATCAAGGGGGCGGGGGAGAGGTGTGTTTCTGAAGATGATTTTATCCAGTGACCAAAGATGCGTTCTTCCATTGAATTTGAGTTGATGGCACAAATTAGCGTATTTGAAAGAATTGAGCAGAGATGATCAGGCTGTACAGGGCAATCACGCAGTGCTCATAAGAGCTCGATTCCACTTTGAGAACAGTCTCGGGCATTCTAAGGCTGACGCTGTCGTTGGTACTCGAGGTCCTAAGGCAGCTTCTCTGCCTGAGGTAGAATGCAATTTTGTATCAAGGGAAAGAGGGACCCGCAACAAAACCCAGCTGAGAATTGTTACGGGGATGACTGGCGGAGAGCCGATGGGTACGTGGGGGATCGCGTGATCGATTTTGTCATAACACAGAAGTTGGAAAGGCGGCTGCCGCTAAACAAGGACTTTCTTTTTGTCTCAAGGTTATATACGCTTTTCTTTTTTACACTTTCCCTATTAACATCCTCTCGCTGATAGGTACTTTCTTCCAGATAGGTGTCTCTGCAAGACAGCTGTTTGAAGTACAAAAATAACTGTGGGCCAAGGAGAAGAAACAGTTAAGCCATTTCTCAGCCAGGCCTGCACTGGAGATTAAGGCTTTCCTGTGCAGCTGGTGGACAGCTTGATTATTTAATGTGTGTTGAGGGTGGCTAATAAGACTCTTTGATCACAGGATGAAGGGTGGCAGAGAAGTGAAAATGATTGAATTAACAGCTTATCGTAGCATTATGTATGAGAAAAGCCTGAGAAAAAGAAAAACACTTTAAATTAGGTCACGGGGGTCTTAGAAAACCCACTGGAACTTTCTGGCAGGAGAAGCTGCATTTGTGGATTGGGCTCCGCTGGCATGGAGCTTAAAGACTTGTACGGAGAGTATCGGGGCCTTTAATCCCTCCTGTCTGAGCCAGATTGGATGCTGCGAAGGGTGTTGATTTGAAACTGGCAGTACTGTCGCTTCTCAGCAGAGAGCTAGAATCCCCATCTGCCAAAGGGTTTGTGATAGATATTAGTGAGAGCCAAGGAGGAGAGTCAAACCACTGCCTTTGGCTTATAAGGCATTCAACCAGAATGCGGTTTCCTTCCGCCATAGTGGTGGCCACAATGGTAAGAAATGGAGAGATTTCAGGAAGAGCAAAATAGGACCCTTTATCTCCAGAAGTGCTTGGCCATCTTAAGCCACTGACCGGATATTATGTCTAAGATGTGTGAGTGAGTGGAAAGAATGGGTCCCACTGTCTGGCCCCATGGCACCCATAAGTGATTCCCACACTAACACAAGCTTTCAGATTACTGAGGCAAGCCATCAGTCCGCCATCGGAGGTCACCCCTAGGATCAGTTTTAAATCCTACAGTGTTAAGCCACTGTTTAAGGATTAGCTAAGGGAACCGGAGTTAGTGATTGAGTGACAGCTGGCTGGGCTAGGGTACATTTTTTGTTGTTGGTTCCTAGCTTTACAATGACTCCTGGCCTCAGAGGCCAGCTTGATGGCTGCCTTCTTCAAGGTCAGCTCTGTATGTGAGCTTGACTCAGGCTCCTGCGGATGGTGGGGAGGGGAGTGCCTCCTGGCACTGACTTCCCTCCACCTCCCCAACTCCCTCTGGAATCTCCCTCCGGCTCCTGTCTTGGCTCTCAGTTTCCCTATTCTTCCTTGTCATCAGGAGCCAATGTTTACTGGTCTCCTGAGCCTTTCCAACTCTTGGGAAAAAAACATTTGAGAAACAACAGTCTCTCGTGGTGTGACCTTGGAGGCCCCCAGGCACTGAGCCTGCAGGAAACAAATCGCACGCTCAACATGAACCACGTTAGGAACACATGGGAAGTCTAGGGAAAGCAAGCTTGAGTCCTACCCAGGGCCTTAGTGAATAGGGGGTCCTCGTCCTTACTGTTCGCTCCTGCGGGATCTGAAAAGGAGTAGGAAAACCTGGTCGAAGGGAGAAGGTGGTAAGTATTATACACTTCATTAAAAAAAAAAAAAAAAAAAAGCCTCTCTGAGTGTGGTGAACGGGGAGGACTCAGGAGGAGAGATCTGAGGGCTTGGCTTCCCCTGCTTTTGTCGCTCCCTGTGCTAGTTTCCTAGGGCTGCCCAGACACCAAGTCCCTGGATCCAGGCGGCTTCACCAGAACCACAGTGTCGTGGTGGTGGAGGCCGGATGTCCGGATGCGGGTGTCCGCAAGGCCAGGCTCCATCCATCTGAAGGCGCTCAGGAGAGATGCTTCCCGGCTGCTTCCAGCCTCCGGTGGCTCCGTGCGGTCCTTGGCATTCTTCGCCGTGCAGCCCTAATCTCTGCCTGCGTCTGCCCATGGCGCTCGCCTCGGCGCCTCTGCGTGTTCTCCGTTCTCGTGCAACGTCAGGCAGAGCTGCCACACGCACACCCTCGCAGGAACCGGGATTCTGTCCGTGTTCCTGCTTGCGGCGGACCCTACTGCCACCCACTGGCAGAAAGGCGCCTCTGCCCGCGGGCCAGAGGCGGTAGCGGAAGTCCTTGAATTGAAACTGTATTTAAAAAAAAAAAAAAAAGAGCAAGTGTGTCTCTGAAAGCTTCTGCCCCGTGGCCTTTCTCACAGACTCGGTGCCTTTCCAGCCGGACTGGAAGCTACTGGTAACAGGTGCAAAAACGCCAGTGCCCTCCTCCGCTGCCACGGCCAGCCCGACTCAGGCCCCTTACAGAGGCCCCTTGGCAGTCTGGGGACTCAGCAGAGAAAAGGCTCTTTTTACGGGTTGAGCAGAACCTCTACCAATACAAGGTGGACAAATCCTTCACTTTGAAGCTCTGACACCTCGTCCCCTACAGCCTCTCAAGGCCTGGGGCGCTGTGTACTTTGAAGGAACCCCCAGGAAGGAATAGGATTAAGAATTTTAAAAATCAGTGGGTTACCTGGGTGGCTCAGTGGGTTAAGCCTCTGCTTTCAGCTCAGGTCATGACCTCAGGGTCCTGGGATCGAGCCCCGTGTTGGGCTCCCTGCTCAGCGGGGAGCCTGCTTCCCCCTCTCTCTCTGCCTACCTCTCTGCCTACTCGTGATCTCTGTCAAATAAATAAAATCTTTTTTAAAAAAAATTTTTTTTAATCTGAGATTTTAACTTAGAAAAAGAAAATACTTTCTAAATCCCAGTAATGGCTGCTGCATTGCTTTCCTAGGGCTGTGGTAATAAAGGACCACCACTGAGGTGGCTTAGACAACAGAAATGTATTGTTGCACAGCTCTGGAGGCCAGAAGCCAGAGAGCGAGGTGTTGGCAGGGTCGGTTCCTTCTGAGGGCCACGGGAAGGAGGCCTCCCAGGCGCCTCCCTTGGCTTGGAGAGAACCATCTTCACGCTGTGTCCTCACATGGGCTTCCCTGTGTCTGTCCAGATTTCCCCTTTGAGTAAAGCGGTCAGTTGTGTGGGATTAGGGCTCACCCTCGTGACCTTATTTCAACCTAATTATCTCTGTGAACATCCTACCTCCAAAGAGGGTCACGTTGTGAGGTAATGGCAATTAGGACTTCAACGTAGCAATTTCGGAGAACTCTTGACTCAACCCATAACGGCTACAGAGTCTTTTTGTAAAGAAAAGTGGTACCAGTAGAAGTGCTGAGACAGAAAGGCTTGATGGGGGTATAGCTTCTAGTTCCTACCCTCTGGACCAAGGCCAGAGCCCTGAGCTTTTTCTACTTTCCTCCTACCTGGCTGAAAGAGAATCCAGTGGTCTCATCCGAAGGCAGTGCTGCTTTTCAAATGAAACCAAGGTTATGCTCACTCCCCCAGCATTTTCCAACTGGGGCATAAGCAGGGGTCAGAGTGAATTCTGTTGTGGCCCCAAGGTTATTGGACATATCAGGTGACAAGATAACCACTTGGATTTACAAGTAACAGAAGTCACTCAAGTGCTGGAAAGTTCGCTGTAGAACTGTCAGCCCATATACATCATTGATGCCCTCAAGCTTCTCTTGGGCTTTTGGAAAATAAATTAATCAGACAGAGAGCTGTGTTAAAACATCACTGCAACATTAATAGTTCAAAAAAAAAAAATGAAAGGCCATAATCTTCAATTCATTCCCATGAGACATCTACAGTGAGTGCCAACTTTTTTCACAAGTCTCTTCTCACCGGTGTAGGCACGCGTCTTTTCATTCCAGGTTTTACCAGTTCAAGGTTTGCGGCAACTCCACGTGGAGCAAGTCTTTCTGTGCTATTTTCCCAACAGCGTTTGCTCGGTTTGTGTCTGTGTGTGACAGTCTGGTAATTTTTACAACATTTCCAATTTTTTCATTATTATCTTCATTTTAGTGATCCCTAATGGTTTGGGGAGCCACAAACCACACCCACATCCGATAACCAACTCACATGTGTGTTCTGGCTGCCCCGGCTCCTCCTCAGGCCTTCCTGTTCCCTGGCACACCACGATATGCAGTTAGGCCGGTTCGTAACCCTGCAGTGGCCTCTAAATGTTCAAGAGAAAGGAAGAGTCTCCTGTCTTTTTAAATCAAAAGCTAGAAGTGATCAAGCTTGGTGAGGAAAGCATGTTGGAAGTAAAGATGGACCAGAAGCTAGGCCTCTTGCACCCAACAGTTAGCCAAGACGGGACTGCGAAGGAAAGGCTCTTGAAGGAAA